TAATCTGAAGACACATAAAGACGGACCACTGAATAGCCGAGATGTATCATGTGGACGCTACAAGCTATCAAAGTTAATCCAGCACTGAAGGGATGTGACTGTCCGGGTTTGCTTTGCGATTCCCGGAGCTCAAGGTCGCGCGGAGCTCAATTGGCTGTTATAGTTACGCTGGAATAGCTCGCGGCATCGGCCGCGGTCATATACTCCTCAAATTGACAGGAAGGCGCAAGGAAGCTCTCACAAGGCATTGCGCGTTGCCATGGTGTCACTAAGTCCTACATGCACCGTCTCAAAACTGTTCTCTAAATCTAGATGGCAAATAAACCTCGCAGCTCTCCAGCAAAGCCGTGGGGCAAAGCCGATATCGGCCGCACCCGGTGTACAGCAAACGGTACGTGCCGCAAGCCGTTTGCTTGGCGCCACTTTCGCTGGCTAAGAAGCCAATCTATAGACCGTTTTATCGTGGGTAGCGCCATTTTGAAAGCGAGAGAGAAAAGGGGAAAGGGCTACCGGCGCTTTCCTCCTTTCTGATTGTGTAGAAAGAGTGGAAGTCACGGATGAGAGGCTTGGCCGGTGTTGGGCGTCTGCAGTGCCCCAACTTCGTTCGCGCTTTCTTCTACGTTTCAAACTACCATACTTAATTAGAGCCATGGTCTTTGATGGCGACAGTCCCCCGGTCATCGAGACACCATTGCTGGGTGATAGGGTGCACGAATAACGACAGAAAGCGTCGAATACTGTCCGAGGACCTATGTAGCTTGCATGGAATCCGGCAAGGCAAGTACGGCTGGAATGTTTTTAAGCTCCATTGCTTTCCGCATGACTGGAAATGATGAACCATTTATACATTTTTGCTTGCAATGGGCCTATTTCAACGTAGCCGCTTTTAGTTGTAATCAACAAGCGATACACGAAACGGAAACCTCAATTAACTTTGTAAACGCCGGGAGCTGCTACATATCGTCTTGCTGTGCTGTTTTTATCTTCGTGTCCCTGTTCTTATATTTCCTTGTGAATGAACGACGAGGACGCTCTAGATGTACTTTTGTCGAACCGCAGAAAGCCTCGAAGCAGCCACGAATTATTTTACTATTTGATGCAATATTTTGAGTACTCACCTCCAATTTCTATAGCTGGCACGTTCGCTGCCGCTGTTCCCCCCGTCGCCACACTGGCGGATGCCATGACTCAAACAAAGAAACGTGCACACTGGGCTCGAAAACGCAGATCGCAACACACGAGACGTTCCCTGCAGCGACTATGAAGCGCCTCAAAGCGCCTTAGTCAACGGAAACAACCCACCAGCGGCACTCCAAGGAGCACTTTTGCCGGCTCTCTGGTATCGCGCAGGAGATCGCGATTAAAAAAACAAACAAACAAAAACCAATAGAACTACGTTTTCAACAATTTCCAGCCTCACCCGGCGGCGGAAATAAGCCTTCAACTAAGTGTTGTAGATGATAAAATCGATTCAGTCACCACTGCAAATGATCACTATTAAGATAAATTCAGTTACGAAATTTTACAAGCTGAAACAGCAGTTATCATGAGAAAACTCGCACGCACATTGCGAGCGTACCCCATGTTCATCGGCGGTACAGCGTTCGGTGCGCGCTCCATTCACGAAATGTCCCGAGCGAAGTCGAAAGGATGGCGTTGAGGAAACGCCTTTTCGGTTTACGGACGCAATCCACTGCCCCCGGAGACAGGGGTCATGTGGAAAGCGATGGAGTTCAAAGACATTGCAGCCGCCCTCGCCTCGCTGGATTCCTTGCAAGCTACATATGTCCTCGGACAGTATTCTATGCTTTCTGTTTTTATTCATGCACCCTATGACCCAGCAATGGTGTCCCGATGACCGGGCGACTGTTGCCATCGAAGCCTCGGGCTTTAATTAAGTTTGCGAGTTTAAAACAGAAAAAAAACCGCGAACGAAGATCGCGCACAGCAGACACCCAACACCGGCGGAGCCTCCTCATCCGGGACTTTCACTCTTTCTACACAATCAGAAAGGGGGAAAGCGTTGGTAGCCCTTTCCCCTTTTCTCTTTCGCCCTCTTTCAGTAAAACGGTCTATAGTCCCATTAGAGTCGCTAAAGAAGCTGCGTTTAGAGTACCGACACTCCGTTCCCCGACGTTGTTGTCGGCGCCGCCATTTTGTTTCTTGTGCAGAGCAGGCGCAACTGCTGATCGTCATGATTCAAAAGTGCGACATCCTCGGCAAAAGATTCGGTGTTAGTAAGCTCATGTAATATTGCTTTGGTCTGTCACGAACTGTTTAAACGTTTGTGGAGGGCGGAAAAGCCTTTCCTGTGATTTCAGATAAAACTTCAGATAACTGACAACCATGATTTTACAGGGGTCACTAAACTAACTAAACGATTTTCCTACTTCTTCCTCCTTAGCTTTAATCCTCAACTCAAATGCGAATTGTGAAATCACGTCGTCGTGACATTCTGCGGCACCGGTGCGATGACTCGTATACTTCGTTTCATCTTCGGTCCGAGTGCGGCCGACGTTATGAGCTGAAGGACCAATCAAACAGCGTAAAAAGCGCAACGTCATGGCGTGCTGTTTGCGCTTGACTAGCCCGCGCAGGAGCAGACAGACGGCGAATACCGGCTGGTTCCAACAACAACAGAAAGCACGCCATGAGGTTTCGCCTCTTCCGCTGTTTGATTGGCCCTTCGGCTCATAAGATCGGCCGCGCTCGGACCTAAGGTGAAACGAAGCATAGCTTCAGGTACACGTAGCAGAGCGCGTTGGATGGAATACAGTTCACACGGAAAAAGAATAAAAACAGAAAATATACGAGGGACAGACGCACACAGTTCTCTCAAAATAGAATATTCTGCTCGCGTTTCGAACGTGCGTCATTATGTTCCCCCCCCCCCCCCAAACTACAGTTTTTTTTTATACTCCGTTTCGTTCTGAATGCCAGCGTAGCTGATGCTACAAGAGCGAGCTGCGAGCTTTCAGCGTCCCTGCCTAGCACGCGCGCTCGTGCAGTGGGAGCATCGTTCAGGAGAACCTGCTTTTGCGTGAAACTTCTGCTTCGCTATCACGTTAAGTGAAACATACGGACCCACAGAAGCTATAAAAGAAATCAATAAAATATTACATTTAAAAATAATGTTTAATGAGACGCTGAGGCCACGAGCTGCATAATTTTTTTTTCTGTTCGTTTTTGTTTTTTTTTACGTTTTTTCATTGCGCGTCTAAACATGCTGACAGGGCCAAAGCCGCCTGCGAATCCGGAGACCTACCTCCCCATTAAACGTCACAACCACGTGACAACCACATTCCCGGAAAGACGATGTGAGAGTTGAGAGTGGCCGCGGGGGGCACATATTTCAATCTGTTTTTATTTTGGTAAAAAAAACAACAACTAGGGAACTCATCGAAAAACGACTTTCTGTTCCATATTCCACGGGTGGTAGCATTGTGCTCATCGGTGGCATTCTGTCGCGTGTGCCTGACGTTGAGAATGTTTGAACTCTCTCCCATCTCCGGTTCACCTCCGACGACACTGATAACTGTAACTTAACGGTTGGCGAATGAACCTCCAGTATTTTACCTACGTCAGGATTTGTATTCAAGTTGTGTAACAAATCAAAAACACTGCCGATCGAGTAGTAGAAATAACCATGTATTTTCTTTTCCATTTTTATTTCTGTCGAACACTTCAGAAATAGCTGATAACTAAGCAGTCTTAGGTAGTAACGCGTTACTGTAATTTCGTTACTTCTTCTGTAACTTGTAACTGTAACGAGTTACTTTTTAAGAATGTAACTTGTAACTGTAGTTTTATTACTTTTTCTGAGGTAACGATGAAAGTAACGACGTTACTTTTGTCGTTACTTTTCAATTCTTTATTAATTATATATCATTAAACGAGTATAATCTAGCTAATACTTGCACTTTCCAGATTGTCTGTTTCGACATTTCGAGTGTCAAGTTAGCCTTGCACAAACTTGGGAATACGTTCTTTCTCGCGAGTCACGACCAGAATATAGGCACGTGTAGATTTGATGGAAAAAAATAAGAAACGAAGAATCTAGTTATCTTTACGCACGTGCTTGTACTTTGTGACTGAGCACTTACATCTTAATATCTTGAAGCACTATCTCTGTTGCTTTTTTTTTCTGCTCACGCTTTCTGATCGTGTGAATCCAACGTGAAACAACAATACACGCGGAGGGCACTTCGTATGTTTCCTATCTTGATTTGCGCCCCTACTCCGACGTGGTGTAAACAGTGTAGCCAAAATTCACTGTTGTTTGCGCGGGGTTTGTTTCTGGCTTGCCGTGTACGTACTGAACTATATCCAAGGAATCCATGAACTTAGCGCAACCGTCAACGAGCAAGCAATGTGCTGGTGCTACCAAGGTTAAGGATATCGATGAGAACAAAGAACTAGCGTGAACGGCGTACAGACAGTATTTTGTTGTAGTGAAGTGGGTTGCTAACAATTTGACCGCAGTATGCAAACTTTGCAATCATGAGTACTCCGACGACAAGTCTTCGTGTTCAAGTCAGAGAAAACATGTTTAGTTGAATTTTGGACTTTATTATTTTTATAAAATTAACTAATATTCCAGCTAAACTATAAAGTTCGAATTTACCGCTATAGTGACTGCTTCACTGATTCGTGTCTATATTTTTTTTCTTTCAGACAATAGTTTTTCCTAAGTTTTTTTTTTTTTTTTTTTTTTTTTTTGTGTGTTATCGAAAAGTAACGGAAAGGTAACTTCGCTACTTTTTTTCAGAAATTAACTGTAACTGGAACGACTTACTTTTTACAAGTAACTTACCCAAGACTGTAACTAAGGAAGCCTACGAAACGGTCTTTCAATAAAGCATGTATCGCTGCTAAGCATTCGTGACATAAGAAGCATGTTGGAAATTTAATCTTTGCCGGCCAAAGTTTTCAATTCGTGTATTGGTCATCTATGGTAAATGTTCTGGCTGTTTTTTTTTTTTTTTTTTTTTTTTTTTTAGTGAACGGGTGAAAGAGAACCAGGATACCTTGGAAGAGGGCACGACTCGCAACTTTATTGACGGTTACCTGAAGCAAATTAAAGAGCACAAAAACGACTCCAATACACACTTTCGAGGTAAGCGCGCCTCGCACATTCCGATTCAAGCGTAATTATTCATTTCAAGAATGGTGCAAACGAGTAATTATGAAATTCAAGTAAATGTCCGGCGCAGTAAACCTAGGAGTGGTTTTCAATGCCCTTCCAAGTATATGAACGTATAATGAGGGACAAAACTGATTTGCATGCTATATGAAATAGAGATTAACTGTGTTTTATAAAACTAACAAAACAAATCCTTAGTTATAGGAATAGTGTTCTTAGCGCAAAGAACACAAGCCAAGTGCTGCAGGGATCTTGGGGTATGTTAATCTTTTGTACTTCGAATTAATTTCAGTTAAGTTTATAACAATATAACTGCGCATTCGGATTGAGTTTGGCAAAGAATTCATAAAATCCAAATACAAAAATGTTTGCTTTCACCCCCCCCCCCCCTTCCCAGAGTGCCATCTGCTAGGCTCTGCCTTGGATTTCTTTCTGAATGGCGTGGCTACACCGCCTTATGCGGCCCATTTGATGCTGCTCATCTGTGCCCAGAACCCTGACACGGTGCAGTCGAGGATCCATGCGGAAATCGACCACACCGTTGGTCGCAACAGACAGCCCGCTTGGAAGGACCGTTTGGAGATGCCCTTCACCACGGCCAGCATGTGGGAGATACTGCGATGGAGAACAGAGAGTTCGCTCGGGATACCCAGAGGGTACACCTTTCCTAATCCCATCAATACGTGTGCGAAGAGTGTTACGTTAGCCTAACACAAGATAAAAGTTTTTTTTCTTGATGTAGACCAATGTCTGTCTTTTTTGGCATTATCAGATGGCCTTAAAAGGTAAACGATACAAACATATTTGTATCACTGACTTTATTTTACAGAGTAAAAGAAGACATAATCCTTGGCGGGTTCATTATTCCTAAAGGCACCGTGGTCTTACCAAACACCAACGGAATGAAACGCAATCCCGATCTCTGGAAACGACCCAATCACTTTGATCCTACCAGATTTCTAACACCAGATGGCACTGAACTTGTTAAAAAGCCAGAACACCACCTTCCTTTTTCATTCGGTAAGCAAACCAAATCATTACGTGGTATATGCTAGTTTGCCGTTATATGCATTTGGTTAATGGCCACACTTCTAGACAAGTGGCGTAGTGGTGTGTAGTGTTCTCTGTCAACCCAAACCTATTTTCCACGCGATAGGAATGCTGGCAGTATCTGTGTTTTTATTAGGAACCGTGGGGTTGCCCCCACGCCATATATGGTCATGCATGTGCTGCGCATGTGTTCAGGACTCTTGTGCGGTCATTGATGAATTGGCTGAAAAATGAAAAATATTCCCGCAATTAATGTGGTAAGCCGTTTTGCTTTCCAAAGATTGTTCTAAAACACAAAACGCGAACAGCCAGAAAGGGGCCGTTTAACAGTTTTATCCACTTACTAGCCAGGCAGCTCAATTGTGGTTGCGAAGCTCGTCACCAGCATTCCCTTTAAACAAACACATCTGTAACGACTCAAAAAAAAAAGGGGGGGGGGGGGGAGGCTAGTTTGTTATCCATTATCGCTCATGCATTCCACATTTATTGGGAATTCGAGGCATATTAAATAAACTGTAACATATTAGCAGCGGCATAATTTGCTAACATATGACAGAATCAGAAAAGAAGAACGCGCAGCTGGATTCCGTTGTTGACTATTGTCCATGAAGAAATAAAAAAAGAACCCCCGTAAAACAACCGGAGATTCGGAAGAAACTTAGCTGTCACACTACTGATGTTCTAGAGGAGGGGTGGCCAGGCTGACCCGGCCTTAGAGCCGCAAACAAAACCACGAAACTTCCAAGAGCCGCGGGGGGGGGGGGGGGGGGGGAGGGCAAACTTTCTGTCCAGAGCAATAAACGTATCCAAGTCCAAAGCCGCCAAACTGTACGTAAGGTAGCACAAGATTACCAAACCGCAACCAGTCTTTCGATTTAAAACTCGTTCCATTTCTCCTTTTGGGGGAGTGCTCCCGTGACCGGGAGGGAAGCGGGGTATTGTGTGTGTGTGTGTGGGGGGGGGGGGGGGGGGGGGCGGGGGGGGGGGAGGCCGCGAGCCGCACTTTAACACGCGAAGAGCCGCATGCGGCTCGCGAGCCGAAGCTTGGCCACCCCTGTTCTAGAGCTTTTGCCCTAAACGAAACGCTCGCAAGGCTTAAGTATTCGATCATCCTCACCTCGGTTGAACGGTGTCGTAAGTTTTGAAATAGCCTGAACACGATTCTGATACTGTGCTCATATTGTGATTCTACCAGGTATCAACCACAAGATGAGCGCTCATGCAGAAAATGTTGATCTTTAGTTTTTCCGCCCCGTTGTATGCTTCGTGAAATTATCAGCAGTCGCTGATTGATGATTCAGCCCAGAACCAACAGCGAACGTTTATTAATACTAAGCACCGCCAGAAGCAAACACAGAGGAAGTGACGCAACAAGCTGTATGTGGCGCAACGCTTCTTTTTTTATGGTGTTTGGCATCATTTTGTATTTAAAATATATGTGCAGTTACCGGCGATATGAGCTGGAATGCCCAAGCGGCGATCGGGTTGTATAGAATACGCAAAGTAGCGGGCAGCGATCGAAGCCGGCGAAGCGTCAGAACGGCAGTGGTGGTTTTCAAATATGTAAATCCAACCCTCGCGCCCCATGCCTCCACCCTCTACAACGCACTCATAGTAGTACGCCGACTGAATGATTGCAATCGCCACCCTTGCCAGTTTCGATCTGGATGAGCATCGTACCGGCGTGCGGTCGTGTATTATCACTGCGTGGTGCACGTTAAAGACACCAGTGTAACGGTTATACTGCGCTGGCTAAATCTCTCATCTACAGCTAGGAGACTCCTCGCCCGTTCAGGCAGACCAAGTTCTAGGGTGTATAAACACGCACACAACCCAATAGTTTTTGTTGTTGTCTGTACTGCCTGATCGACGCTCCTGCATTCTAGCTCCTATCGCTGGCCAGTGTAGCAACTAGTCCTCCTATCTAGTTTATAGCAGTAAAAGTATAGAGTCCACCTGATTTTGATTCCTCACAGTTAGAAAGTGGTCAGAGACCTGTAGTCCTAGCCAAAGGGTGTTACTTCAGGCGAGCTCCGTTCAACACCGCACGTTATTTGTTCTCCGGTCTTAGGGTACCTTTTCGCATTCCTCCAGGTAAAAGAATGTGTCCTGCGGAGTCGTTGGCTAACGTGCAGATATTTCTGTACACGACCTGCCTGCTGCAGAAGTACACCGTCCATCCCGAAGAAGGCCGACAGCTGCCCTGCCTGGATCCCCTCGTTACAAGGGGACATTACGCTGATAATCAGAAGTTGCGATTTGTCCCTCGAGAGTGAATGAACGCAATCTTATATCAGCGTTCTTCAAATGAGCCAAATATAAATATATTGTTGCACCAGATAAAATATCATTGATAACACAATTGAATGCAAAGGTGAAAGCGAGCTGGACAAGAATGACGGAAATAATCGATGGAGAAGGAAAGCAAGGGAGACAAAGGACCAGCACAAATCTCCAAACACTGGTGACTGGCGCGCGACTGAAAAATATCCGTCTGGTTCGTATCAAACCAGCAGACATGCACACGTTACCCCCATAAAGCAACTAATATTAATAATAGTTTATTTTTATTTTCCATGAAGCATGGTGGAGCAAAGGGTAAAAGCCTCAAAGGAGGCTTGACCAGCCCTCGACACCGTACATTGGCATTGCAGCAAAAAAAAATGTATATATATATATTTATATATATATATATATGTGTGTGTGTGTGTGTGTCTGTGTGTGTGTGTGTGTGTGTGTGCGTGTGCGTGCGTGCGTGTGTGAACGAGATTACAAAACAGTTATTAATCACCTAAACAGATGGCATGCAAGGTCGTTGCAGACAGAAATCCGAAAAACACAAAAAGAGTGCATTCAATATAGCATAAACAAATTTGAAGAATTATTTGAATAAGGGAGGTAAACCACTGCTGCAGATAAAAAGAACGCAAAGCCTTGAAGAGGATAGTGTCAATGCAAATTTTCTTTCTAGAAGGAAATTTCACAGTTTTGGTAAAGTATATCGCAACATTTGCCTACCATAATTTGTAGAACAGTAGACCACCTTCCAATACTTCATGTGTCTAGTTCAGTGAACGTGTAGATTTGGTGTCAATGCCGCTAAATTTGGCAACGATTTATAATGTTTCCTTTTTTTTATTTTGAACTCAGAATCAATGTGTATAAATTCAGAAAGGCTATGAATTTTTAATAAGCTAAACTTCTTAAAAAACACTGCCTGTATTAAAAAGATAAGGCAGGTTCCATATTATTTTAACCATTTTTTTCTGCAGTAAAAATAATTTTTTCAGGTTTGTGAATGTAGTGTTACCCCAGACAAGGTTGCAGTAGCTCAGATGAGATTAGAACAAATAATTGTAAATTAATAGCTTCACAGTGGCTGGGAGTGTTTTCGCCGTTACGGAATGTCAGACCTATGATGGTAGATAATTTTTCAAGTAAGTGGTTAATGTGAGTGTCCCACAACATATGTTCCGAAAATATGACTCCAAGACTTTTAAAATTACTGACAATTTCAATTGGCGTAGAGTCAAGCACAATGCTTCTCGTTAGATTTACGCACTTATCCGTGGGTCGAAAAATGATAGCTTTAGTTTTATCAGTATTAATTTTTAAGCAGTTATCTTTTGCCCATGCCCCAAGTTTGGACAAAGTGTCATTAGCGATTGTGACAAGATCATCGCTATTATCTGAAGAAAAGAATAGGCTACTGTCGTTGCCATATATGACAAATTTTGCAGGACTCATGTTTACAATGTCATTAATGTACATATTAAAAAGAAACGGTCTCAGAATGCTCCCCTGTGGGACGCCTGAGTGAATAGGTTTAACGTCAGAAGAAAATTGGCCAATAGAAACATATTGCCAACGGTGTCGCAAGCAGGAGCGTAGAAGTTCTAAAGGTAACCCGCGGACACCATTGTATCAGTCGTGATGTGTCAAGCCAACAACCACGTTTATTCAGGAAGTGATTAGTTATATAGTACGACGCGGCTGCGCGGCAGCGCAGCACGTGTCAACAGTTTATCTGTTAACGAGATATGACATCGCGGTTTACATGCAGCGCGTGCGTGACTTGCACGATACATTTTCCTTTGTTTCATAAATAACATTAGGAGTTCCAATGGTAGATGGGATGCACTTGGTTGAAATTGCTGTCGTATTGCAGGCGCTCTGGTTGACGGGTGTGCCTTGTGGATCGTCGTGGGACCGGCGTCAGGGGGTGGTCCTGCAAACCCGGCGTAGGCGGTCTTGTGGGCAAGGAGGCCGGTGTCGCTCTCAGTTCCTCGGTTGAATCCCCGCTGTCCGAGTCGTCGCTTTCAGCAGTTTCTTGTTGAAACGGCTCACGTGTTGCAAGAAGATGTTGCCGGTTGCGTCGCAGCAGCTTGTTGTCTTCGGTAACCACCCGATATGATCTTGGCGCAGCTGATCCCAAGACCCGAGCTCTACGAGTCCATGCTTTGTCTCTCACCCTCACGACTTCGCCTTTCTTGAGGTCGGGTAGGTTCTTGCCTCGGGTGTCGAGCTGGCGGTGTTTAAAAACACGCCTGCTGGGTTGATGGCTGAAGTCCGGGATTCGACTGCGTAGCCTCCTGCCTTGTAACGGCTCTCCTGGCGACCGACCATCCTCCAGGGGGGCAGATCGATAGCCCAGTAGCCCCAGCCAGAAGTCTTCATGGGCCTCCTCAGTTTTCTTCAAGATCCGCTTGACAATTTGCACCCCTTTCTCGGCGAGTCCGTTCGACCTGGGAAACTCCGGGCTCGACGTCACATGCTTGAAGTCGTATCTGGATGCAAAAACAGTGAACTCGTGAGACGAAAATTGGGGCCCGTTATCGCTGCAGACCTCTAGTGGAATTCCGTATCTTGCAAATATAGAGCTCAACTTTGCAATAACAGAACATGCCGTGGTGTCCGTCAGCTTTTCTACTTCCGGAAAGTTCGAATGCGCGTCAAATACACAAAGATACGAACTTCCGCCATGCTGGAAAAGATCAACTCCCACTCTGTACCACGCATGATTCGGTGCTGGCCTTAATATGAGGGGCTCACTTTGCTGCTTGTACGTATACTTTCGGCATACTGAGCACCCTTGTAGCAGAGTTTCGATGTCCGAGTTGAGTCCTGGCCAAAACACAAACGTCGGACTCTTGATTTGCACTTGTTAATTCCCAAATGACTTTCATGAATACGTTGGAGCATCTCCGGTCTCATGGACTTCGGGACCACAACTTTGCTACCCTTCAATACTATTCCTTGAACCAGTGACAACTCAGATACAAAAGGTTTCAGCATGCCGTCAATGTCACCCTTGCCGTTCATGTAACAAATGACTGACTGCAGGTCTGCACTCTAAGAAAAAAGTTGGCCTCAAGGGACTAACGGCAGCATTTGGTCCTCTGAACTCCCAGTTGCTCCCCGAAAGGACCATCTGGCTCAAGCTAGGTACCGTGCGCAAACGCTGGGGACTAATTGCACTTGACTGGGACCAACCGATAGGCGTGCGCGAGCAAAAGCACCCATTAGTCCCCCTCAGACAGGGTGCATCTGTATGATTTAGTCTCCAAAGGCAAACGGAATGTTTGCCAGGAGGACGGATGCTATTTCGCTTGTCTTGGGGATCGGCGAGACTCAGCCCAGCACGGCTCGAAGTGTTGACAAACTCGGACGAAACTGGCGAATTTGTTTAATGTGCCACGAACGTTAAGACATTACATGGTAGAGCTTCACGCGTTGTGTGAATGCGAGTGAACGAATGTGTTGACTCGACTTCACCCAACTATCTCGTCAAAAAGGATCTGTTGACATTCCACAAGTCCCATTTACGTAATTTGCCTTCGCGCAAAAAATGTGCATTTATCCAAACGGAACACCTCCAAATACTAACACTTTTTTTCTTTTTTAAATTAAACGTAACAATTTGTAAAAGCCACGCTTTTAACACCGGAGTCTCGCAGTCAGAATAAATGGTCACTTCAATCGGTAAAACAGATCATTCCCACCGGCGATATAAGCAGTCACGCGATGCGACTAGATCGCATCGCAAAAAAAATTAGATGGTCACACCGGCGTGTGCGATAAGCGAGTCCAACGCCTTCGTTGGCGAGTCGTTTCTCGAAAACTCTCGCTCCGAACGCCGTTGATTGGCTCAGAGGCTCCGCGACTACATCGCATCTCAAAAAAGTCGGGTCGAGAAGCGACTGCTCAAATCGCGTCGCTTTTTGGCCGCGATGGTCGCTTTTGCGATGAAAGTTATCGCGCGACTAGGTCGCATCGCCGGTGGGAACGCGCCTCCGTCTCTGCGTCACAAACCTTCCTGGGTAGTCCAATGTCCAACTCAAAATCCGCAACGACACACTTGATGCACGGCACGTTCCACTTGGAGAGCACATCCACGGGCAGTATCCAGACACCTTCATGCCATCGTCGTCGTTATTTCCAAAACAATCCAGATGAACAACGAAGAACGAGCCACGCCCGGAACGTCACACCTGGCAGCACCCTACTAATACAAAACAAATGCAAACTAAAAAAAAAAAAGCCACTCGAGAAAGCTAAAAGAAAAAAAACGTGTTTGCTTGTACGTCACTCGACCGGCGTGTTGAAAGTGGCGACCTTCTCCCATCCTTGGAGCTCTTCGGTGTCCTTGTGTCATGTGTAGTGGGAGCGGGAAAAGAGATTATCTTCTGCGCGCACTGCCCCCTCCGCCCAATCCCCTACCCCGCATTCCTTCTTCACGCGGGGGGTTGGGCGTTGGTTGTGCAGATGGGGTCCGCCGGGAAAATGGGAAGTGTCTTTGTTTGAAAATAACCTGTTTTTAGTAAGTTGAAAGTCGAAATACAGCCTTCAAAGGAGGCTGGTCGCCTTGTGTCGTCTCCGATCATGGCGGGATCCGGTTTGGATTCGCGGCGCTGAAGCACTGCACTTGATCTGTTCTGAAGTCACAAGTCAAGGGAACTCAATTAAGGTATGTCGAAGTGCTTCTGTTTATGGTGTATTTATTAACTGCGGCTTCAGAAAGTGTTTTATTTTGAGCGCGTTCTCTAGCTTGCAAAGCGCGCGCCATGCTCTATTTTTTTTGGCACCATGGTTGCTGATTTTGTTATGCAGCACAGATATTCAATCGTATCGAGCGAAACGCCAGTTCTCCCGACGGCTTATTTTTTTTATGTGTGTGTGTTTCCCAGACCCTGGCAGGATCGCTTGACCATAAACGCCTGTCCACACATGCAGCGGAGCGCTACAGGCATAGCGCTGACCTTGCGCTAAGCGCGTG